CTTGTAGCTGAATGGTTGGCCTTTCTAGTCCACCCAGAGGCACCTTGGCAGAAAGGTCTAGAGATCTACTTTTGAAAAGTCACAGCCTTGAAAATCCTATGAGCAGTTGTACTCTGCACACACGGGGTTACAATGAGTCCGAATCAACTCAAAGGCAATTGGTTGGATTGGTTATGGGGGAAAGAAACTCCACAATCTCCATTTGTAAAAGAATAAGCTTTTGAAAACAGAGAGAAAAGAAGGGCATACAGAAGTTCAGGCTCCTCTGAGGGTTAGTCTCTTCAAGGATGCTATCTTTCATTTTCCTGTCAAGTCTTTGACCTGAATGACCATTTGAGTGATCTGACTCTTTTTTGATTGGTAGTTTGTTTAAAAAAAAAAAAAAAGAAAATTGAGCTCCAACATTGTGAATATACTTAATGTCCCTGAATTGTACGCTTTAAAATGGTTAAGATGGTAAACTTTATGTTATATGTATTTTACAGTAATAAAAAAAAAAGAATTTTAAAAAATAGAGCACAAATGCCCATTAAGTGAATAGGATAAAACAATTACTGAACTCAAATGTATTTAGAATAAAGAACATAATTAATACAATTTTAAAAAAACAGAAAACCTAAGAGGAAGGTGAAACCATTGCTGATCTATCTAAAGCATCATCCAACAACCTGTTAATAAAGCAATGTATTGATCATATCTCAAGGCAGTAAGGGAGAGTCCACCTCAACAACTTAGTGATGCCTCAGAGGGGGGGACGTCAGAAGTGGGCTAATTATAGGGCTTTGGGCTCTAGGCTCAAGCTGTCTAAAGTGGGTCTTCAAGGCAGGGAATTGATTGCGATTAGACAAATTGGTAATATAGTCGTTTACGATTGGCAGACACAGCAAAGCAAGGGTCATGAGTAAGAATCAATTAATAAGTAAACTGTTTTTGATGAATCATGTTGGCACAGATGATTCTCAGTTATCTTCATGATAACATGTGAAAATTTACAAAAGCGATAGGTATCAATTCCAGGTGATTACGGCTTTAGGTGAATTTCTTCAGCATATTGATTTAGAATCTCTTGGAAATGGCTGCCCTACGCCCTTCTTCTCCAGAGAGAGCATCAGGCTCTAAGATAATATCAGAAGAAGAAAAAAAAAAAATACTGAAGGTTATTAACTACGTGATATTTTTCAGTTGCCATGAGAGTAAGATTTCTACTTTTTAAATATTCTCCTTTTTAAATATTAACACTATCTAACACTCATATGGAGCCCTGGTTGTGCAGTGGTTAACGTGATTGACTGCTAACCAAAAGGTCGGTAGTTCGAAGAGGTTATTATGCGTTAGTTACTGTTTTATGCACTTTACATATATTAGCTCGTGTAGTTCCCACAATACCCTCATGAGCATTTTTAGTACTGCCCTCATTTTACAGACTAGGATATCAAAGCACAGAGAGATTGAGTAACTTACCTATGGTCACACAGAGAGCCAAAGGCAGGGCTTTTTGGGAGCATCTTTCTCCCAAGTCTGGGCTTATAGTTGTTTTTCTCTGTATCTCTATTCAGATTCTAAAGGAAAGGCTGTGGAAGTGGAGGCTGCCTTCCTCTGAAGGGTAGGTTCTGATCACAGTGCAGCCAAGTGAGCACCAAGTCGGACAAGAATGCAGGCTCCAGATGTTCAGGAAGATCACACCGTTCATCTACTCTCTTGTCTAAAAGAAGGCTTGCAGCACACACCTTGTAGTTTTTCTGTGAACCCAGAGGCAGGAATGCCCCATGCTGGGCAAAGGTCACTGTGAGTAGGCATCAGAGTGAGTGAAGACGCCGTCAATCACATGTGGGGCACAGAGGTTGCAGCCATACCACATCTCTAAATGCAAGCATAGCGTTAAACCTGTGAGAATAGGCACAGAGGAGGAGGGAGGGACTAAGTTTGCCATGAGCCCAAAGAGAATGGTTATAGAGAAGGTAACATTTGAATCAGGCATTAAAGAAGGTAAGAGGTACTGTCCAGGCATTTTGGAGGAATTCCCTCAGATCACCAAGTTAGGTACTATTAATGCCACTTTTATATATGGGGAGATAGAGGCCAAGCAGAAGTACATTTTCCAAGACTACATGGCAGGCAAACTAGGATTAAACCCCAAATGTGTCTGGCTCCAAGTTCTGTGTTCATACTACTGCTCCATGAATGAGAAGAAAGCCACTCCTGGCAGGGAAGACACCTTGCTCAGAGGCAGAGGAGCATTAAAGTGCAGGGGCCTGGAGGAGGGGGTAGTTAATTCTATGACTTTGGAGTGTGAGTCTAAGAGAAGAATGGAAGAAAGAGAAAGCTGAGACTGGATTACAGTTAGAAAGTTTTCCATGCTAAAGAGTTTGAAAATAAGAGAGGGCATTATCATTGATTGTTTTTAATTATGGACATGGAAGGAGCATATATTCCTGGTAGAAATATCACTTCTGGCAACAGTATGGAGGATGCATGGAAGAGGAAGTGATTGAGACGTGGAGATCAGTGGTGAAGGAATTAAAATAATGCAAGAGAGAGTGGATGGGATTCTAAAATAAGATAAAGGAGTGGGAATGGGCAAGAATGGAGGGATCAGAGCAGTGCTTCTCAAACTTGGATGGGCATAAGGATAGCCTGAGGATCTTGGTAAAAGCAGATTCTGATTCAGCAAATCTAGGTGCATCCTAAGAAATTCTTTTCCCCCCAAAATACTGGCCTGAATCTTTTAATCCATTTCCTTTTGATTACTACTGACTTGGTGGCATTTCAAAAGTGGTAGTAGAGGAGCTGCCTATGCACATATTGCAGATGTAAATCTATCACTTGGTTTTTCATTCTTGCTTTTTTTATTCATATATATATACATACATTAATTTTATTGTGCTTTAGGTTAAAGTTTACAGTGCAAATTAGTTTCTCATTCCAAAATTTTTACACAAGTTGTTTCATGACATTGGTTGCAATCCCTTTCAGGCAATCTGACTGAAACCAGACTTCACGCATATGCCATGAGACAGTAGGTGACTAGAAGGTGAACTTAGTTGCCTTATTTTCAGTATATGCCAGCATTTTCTTGGGAACACATAGATGTCAAGAGTACACAAAGAGCCATCTTGAAGGAACACCGGCTGCCATCTTGCACCGCCAGTTGCCGAAGCAGCCTACACGCCCACCCCACACCCATTTTTAAATATACGTGCCATTTCCCAGACGTTTAATGAATATATATGACTTCTCCTTTCCCACTGTAGTATAAAACTTCCTCTAGCCCTTTGTTAGGGCAGACAGTGCTCTGAGAACCATCTCCCTGTCTCCTTGCCTGTGGCAAGAAATAAAGCTTGACTTGCCTCAAATCTGCATGACTCTTTGTTATTCTTCACAAGAGCACAGGCAGCGAACCCCTTGCATCTGGTAACAGTGGCAGCCAGGTACCATATAGTTCTTCTGAGCTCAAGCTGGTGAAGGCTGTGGTTCATGTGGACCACTTGGTTTTTCTTGATGTAATGTAATGACCTTTTGTGTATATTGAAAAAAGGAGATTAAAAATCAAACTTATTTGACATAGTGATACATGAATTTAATTTTTAAGTCATTGCTTAGGGACTGAGATGATTTGATCCTTTATCAGTACGTCTTTGCATACTACATTTAGTTATCATTAAAAAGACTACTAGTTTTACACCTTCAAATACTCTAAGTGATAGAGCTCACTCAGCCCATCACCTTTCTCTTTTATTCAGTTGTTAACTTTCATAACTCCTAAAACTTCAAATATTGATTACTCTGCTTATCCACTTGGTAGATGAAGCAGTGTCATCCCTGTTGTCTCAGTCATCTCTGACATATAATTAGTTCTGGTTTCCTATATAAGATTTGAGTTATACACGCACTTAACAGGCCACTGTTCATTCTTATTGAAAGTGCATTTATTATTCTTCTTTACCAAATCTCTGGCTCTGTAAATAATTGTAGCAATGAGATACACTTGAATATTATCCTTTTATTTATTTAAATGAGTTAATTCAATTCAAATTTACTATTTTATAAGCTTAGTTAAAACATTTCATCCAGTAGTTTAACTTAGGCTCAATTGCCTTGCAATTATGATCACAAAATGTAATATTGGCCAGCTTCATTCTACTCTTTGCTCTGTTGAACTATTACAGCTCAACTCCTGAACAAACTTGATTAAGGGTGTTGGAAATACAAAAGTGTACTGCATCAAGAGTAGTTGATACATGGCTGGTTTAGGGTGTGGATGGCTGCATGTGTGTGTTGGAAGGTGTAGAAAAAAGGCATAAAACATTTCTGAATTCATGTCTAAGGTGCACATCTTTGACGGGTTGGATGAGAACTCTGTTGCTCACAGGTATAATATGATATCTTTGTTCCAACTTTCCTAGATTTTATTGTAGAGTTTCAAAATCACTTCTTGTCACCACTACATTTGTGGAATAACTAACTCCTGGAAGTCCTGGTAGCCCAGTGGTTAAGAACTAGGCTGCTAATCAAAAGGTCAGAGTTTGAATTCACCAGCCATTCCTTGGAAACCCTATGGGGCAGTTCTACTCTGGCATATAGGGTCACTATGAGTTGGAAACGATTAGACTGCAACAGGTTTGTTTGTTGGTTGGTTGGTTCTACTGATAGATCTTTACATGTTTTTTTTTTGGTTTAAAAGTGCACAGTCTTAGAGAGGGACTTAATATTGCAAGGAGTCTTCAAAGGAGTGAAGCACTAGTGATGCCAATTCCATATACAGAAACTTAGGTTTATGAAGCCTGAGAAACCACACCACAGTTCTAAAGCAATTATAAAGCCAGCACTGGAAGTACCCAGAACAGTTCATTACACATAGGAAGCCATAGTCAAATATTTGTTAAGTGAATGAATTATTCCAAAACTAAGACCTCTTGATACACAAGCATAAGTTACTTAGGTTGAATTAAAGTTAATTATTACAAATGGACATATCTTCTTATGTTAATTTGACATCAGTATTAGCCCAGCACCTTCCTTAGGGCCCACACCACTTCTTTGTTCCTAAGACTATAAATCAGGGAGTTCAGCATAGGTGTGAGAATAGGGCCGAGTATAAAGAGAACCTGATCCAGCTTGGCATTATGATAGGAACTAAGCCTCATGTAGATCACTATGGCAGGGCCATAGTAGAGGCATACCACAGACAGATGGGAGGAGCAAGTGGTGAGGGCTTTGTTTCTGCCCTCAGGGGAGTTCATGTGGAGGATGGCAAGGAAGATGAGAGCAAAAGAAGAAAAGATGAGGGACAAGGAAATAAGAAGCACCATGATGCTTGTCACCACCACAGCCCTCTCATAGGCAGAGATGTCCTCACAGGCCAACTTTAGGACAGCTGTGAGCTCACAGAGGAAAGGGGAAATCTCTCTGGAACCACAGGTGGGGAAATGCATGGCATAGGTTGAGTGTACCAGTGATGTAATGACACCCCCAGCCCAGGAGAAAGCAGCCATCTGTACACAGACCCTATGACTCATGATGATGACATATCTCAGAGGGTTGCAGATGGCCACATACCGGTCATAGGACATGAGGGTGATGAGGATGCACTCGGCGATTCCTAGAGTCAGAAAGAAAAAGATCTGAGTTCCACAGTCCGACCGTGAGATGTTTCTCCTCCCTGAGAAGAAGTTAATGGGCATTTTGGAGACAAAGCTTGTCATGGTTTGCATTATGTCCCCC